TCATCAGGCCAAACATTAGATCCTCAGAACTTATTGTTTTTATAACTGAATGTTTGTATCCTTTGATCAGCATCTTCCATTTCTCCCAGCCCCTGGCAACCACCCTTCTACTCCCTGTTTCTATGAGTTTGACTTTTTTTTTTTTTAAGATTCCACAAGCAAGTGATGCCATACAGTATCTTGTCTTTCTCTGGCTTATTTCACTTAGCATAATGCCTTCCAGGTTCATCCATGTTATTACAGTGGCAAGACTTCCTTCTTTTTTTATGACTGAATAATATTCCATTGAATAGACCATATTGTCTTTATCCATTCATCCTTTTTCATCATTGCTTTGGATATTTGGGGTCTTTTGTGTTTCTATCTGAATTTTTTTCTATTTCTGTGGAAAAAAAGCCATTGGATTTTTAAGGATTTCATTGAATCTGTTGATCACTTCTGGTAGTATAGACATCCCATCCAATACATGGGATATCTTTTGATGTAGTTGTGCCTTTTTCAGTTTCTTTCATTAATGTCTTACAGTTTTCAACGTAAAGGTCTTTCACTCTTTGATTAAGTTTATTCCTAAGTATTTTATTCTTTTTCATATGATTGTAAATGGGATTGCTTTCATAATTTCTCTTTCAGAGAATTCATTATTAGTGTATGGAAATGCGACTGGGTTTTGTATGTTGATTGTGTATCCTATAACCTTTACTGAATTTGTGTATTATATCTAATAGCTTTTTGGTAGAGTCTTTGGAAACATATTGTACCAAAACTTATGGGATGAAGCAAAAGCAGTTCCAAGAGGGACAATTATAGCGATATATGCCTACATTAAGAAAAAAACAAAGGCCTCAAATAAACAAACCTAACTTTACCCCTCAAGGAACAAGAACAAACTAAGGCAAAAGTTAGAAGGAAGGAAGGAAATAACAAAGATCAGAGCAAAAACCAATGAAATAGAGGCTAGAAAAACAATAGAAAAGATGAATGAAACTGAGATTTTTTCTTAAAAGATAAAATTGTCAAACTCTTAGCTAGACTAAGGAAAAAGAGAGAAGACTCAAATAAAATCAGAAATAAAAGAGGAGATATTACACCTGATGCCACAGAAATACAAAGGATCCTTAGAGACTACTGTGAGTAATTAGATGCCAACAAATTGGATAATCTGGAAGAAATAAAGTCCTAGAAACATACAACCTACCAAGACTGAACCAGGAAGAAACAAAATCTGAATAGACCTGTAAATTGTTAAGGAGATTGAAACAGTAATCAAAAATCTTCTAACTAACAAAAGCCCAGGACCAGATGGCTTTACTGGTGAATTCTACCAAACATTTAAAGAAGAAGTAACATCAGTTTTACTCAGACTCTTCCAAAAAATTGAAGAGGAGGGAACACTTTCAGACTTACTTCTCGAGGCCAGTATTACCCTGATACCATAGCCAGATAAGGGCATTACAAGAAGAGAATATTACAGGCCAATAGCCCTGATGAATATATATGCAGAAATTCTCAATAAAGTATAAACAAAGTGAATTTAACAGAACATCTGAAAGATTATACACCATGATCAAGTGGGATTCATCCCTGGGATGCAAGGATGATTCAACATACACAAATCAATAAATGTTATACATGACATTAATATAATGAAGGATAAAAATTGTGTGATCATCTTAATAGGTACATAAAAAGCATTTGACAAAATTCAGCATCGCTTTATGATAGAACTCTTAACAAATTAGGTATAGAAGGAATGTATCTCAACATAATAAAAGCCCACATGTGACAAGTCTACAGCTAACATCTTACTTAATGGTGACAGGTTGAAAGCTTCTCCTCTAAGATCAGGAACATACAAGGATTTCCACTCTCACCACTTCTGTTGAACATAATACGGGGAATCCTAGCTAGTGCAATTCAGCAAGAAAAAGAAAGGTACCCAAATTGGAAAGGAAGAAGTAAAATTGTCTGTTTGCAGATGCATTATCTTTTGTCTACTGAGGGATGAGATTTTAGCTCACATACTACCTCTTCCCCTTCTGTGTTCAAACATTTGGATAGTTATTATGTTTACTTCATCTTTTGCTCACCTTTTTTTTGTTGTTGTTTTAGCAAATTTTACATTATCTCTTTAATCTGAATTTAGTAAGGTGCAGATGTTCATATCCCTGTCCTTCCCTCTACCTCTTCTACTCCCCCTTAACAGCTGAGCATCTGTCAGTTGTAGTGTTATTTTAACACTGTTAAGGTTGGAAAATTTTATATTTTCTTCAGTAACATTTATCTTGTTTTTTGGGGGGATAAGATTGATTCTGAAAGCTGAAAATCAATTAACCTTGCTTACACTTTTAGGACTTACAGTAGAATGCCAGGGTTAGTTTTGTTGCTAGATTAGCCCTCTGGGCTGTTTTTGCTATAGCTCAGGAAAAATTTCTTTTTCTTAACTTCCTCTGTCCTTCATATTAATTTCTCTTATTATTTGGAAGTTGGAGGTATTGGATTGCTTCTTTCTGTCTCGTTTCCTTTATTTTTTGTTTCTTTATATTTTTGTTTCACATAATAGGATCGTTCTCCCACCTTGTCTTTGATCATTCCATATAATATAGCATTATTTTCTTATTCTGTGTATATATTATAGTCCTTCTCAAAAGTGTGAGGATTTTTTTTTTAAGTTTTCATATTTTTTAAAATTTGCTTTTTTGGGGGTATTTTTCTTTTATATTGTTACCTTTCTTCATAAATCTAGCGATTCTTGATTGTCAGTTCATATTTGTGAAGGAGTGATGGGTTAATAGTTCTGCGTAAATGGCTTGGGTTTTCTTTGCCGTTCTGTTTGCTTTGCTGTTTTTTCTTTATCAATCTCTTGGATCTTGTTTACACAGATGGGGCTTATTGATTGGCACATTCCACATCAGGTATGCACTCAGGGAATTAGTCTTTAGGCAAAGAGTTCTTTAAAATGCCAGATGGGAACAGGTTTTATTCTGTGATGCCAGCAGATACTCCCCCCTCCCCGCTTCTTTGGAACTTCCTTTGATTTCTTTAGAGATTTATTTTTCTTTTTGTTTTGTGTTGTTCTTTTACATAGGAGACAGTAACAATAGTTAGTAGCAATTATCCACCTCCCCCATTTTGTCCCTGCTTCCCTTCCCTTTTTCACTCCTGCTTATTACCTTTTCACCTAACTTCCTTTAGGAAGCCTTTTGGAAGTCTGTCTGACAGATCAGCTCCTCTGCTGTGGTCTTCTCCAGCAGTTAGTTTGGGCATTAGCTTCCTTCATTGCTTCATCTGTCAGTATATGCTTCTGGGCTTCCCTGGTGGTACAGTGGTTAGGAATTGGCCTGCTAATGCAGGGGACATGGGTTCGAGCCCTGGTCCGGGAAGATCCCATGTGCCGTGGAGCAACTAAGCCCTGGTCTGGGAAGATCCCACATGCCGTGGAGCAACTAAGCCCGGGTCTGGGAAGATCCCACATGCCGTGGAGCAACTAAGCCCGTGCGCCACAACTACTGAAGCCTGCACGCCTAGAGCCCGTGCTCAGCAACAAGAGAAGCCACTGCAGTGAGAAGCCCATGCACCGCAACAAAGAGTAGCCCCCGCTCACTGCAACTAGAAAAAGCCTGTGTGCAGCAACAAAGACCCAATGCAGCCAAAAAATAGTTAATTTATTAAAAAAATATATATATGCTTCTTTCCTTCCCATCTTCCAAAAGTTTTGGGTTTTTTTTTTGTTTTTTTTTTGCGGTACACAGGCCTCTCACTGTTGTGGCCTCTCCCATTGCGGAGCACAGGTTCTGGACGCACAGGCTCAGTGGCCATGGCTCATGGGCCCAGCTGCTCCACGGCACGTGGGATCTTCCCGGACTGGGGCACGAGCCCATGTCCCCTGCATCGGCAGGCAGACTCTCAACCATTGCGCCACCAGGGAAGCCCCCCAAAAGTTTTTTTAATATTTCTTGTCTCCCTTTAAGCCTTCTTATTGATAGGGAAATACAAAGTTGCAGTTGTTAACTCAAAAAAAATCTAATATCACCACAGGAGTGTGTATCATAGTAAGAAAACACATTGCAGTTTTGTGGGTTAATGTTTCTTTTGCTGTTGTGTATATATATATTGTCTTTTTGTTCATAAATGTCTCAGAGCCCTGTGCACATGCACGGGCTTATTGACTGGTGAGTACCCCCTCCCATCTCCTGTGTTGGCTCAAATTAGGATCTGGCGACGTTGAGGTATTGTAGAAAGAGACAGTATAGGCTGGCAAGAAGGGACAGAGCGACACTGCTGATCCAGAGAGAAAGGCACAGTTCAGACTTTGGGAGGTCAGAGAATTAGCAAAAACATCACCAGAGGTAAAGTGGGTAAGAATATGAACTCATGAGTCTGACTCTTTGTAGTCATATTCTTACTATACCATTTACTGACTTTATGATGCTGGTCAAGTTGTGTAACTTCTCTAAATTTTAGTTTCCTTATTGGTAAAAATAGGGATTGAAATAGTATCTTATAACTGTGAGAACTGATGAGTTAATCTATTTAAAATACTTAGCACAGTAAGTGCTCAGCAAATGGCAACTAGAGAGATTTTACGTAAAATCCAGGTTTCTGGATTTTCTTCAAAAATTTGAACACCTGGGCTTCCCTGGTAGCGCAGTGGTTGAGAGTCCGCCTGCCGATGCAGGGGACACGGGTTCGTGCCCTGGTCCGGGAAGATCCCACATGACGCAGAGTGCCGGGGCCTGTGAGCCATTGCCACTGAGCCTGCGCGTCCGGAGCCTGTGCTCCGCAAGGGGAGAGGCCATAACAGTGAGAGGCCCGCGTACTGCAAAAAAAAAAAAAAAAAAAAAAAAAAAAGAATTGAACATCTGATGTTCCTCAATGGCAGCAATTGTTTACAGCTGAGTAGTAGGTGCCTTTTTTAATTGGGGCATTTGCTTTCCAGTTTGCCATACCCCCAATACTCCTTATTGTCTCATACTCAGTTTGGTTCACTCTCTTTATGTTACCTTCCTCGTCTTTTTGGGCATTTGGATTTGTGACTTCTGATGTACTGGTATTAGCTGTAGCTGAAAGAATATCTGCAGTTTTCAGAGCTGATTTTTCTTTGGTGTTGGGATGAATCAGTACCGAAGGCACAAACATAGACCGTATTAGAAGAGTAATTCAGGCAAGGGAATGCTGTCACATACAGGAAATTCTTGGGAGTACTTGGGAGTATCACACTGGTTGGTGAGGTTCAGTGATGTGCTTCAGGTGAATTAAGAGACTGATGTTAGGGGGTGTGGTGATAAGTAACTGGGAGGGCTTTATGTAGGAATCCCACAACTAAAACCTAGAAATGTTTAGAGATAGAAAAAACTCATTTCTTAATGTATAATATCTATTGACTGTCCTAGGTGCCTGGCAGTGTGCTAGGTTCAGAGATCACCAAGTTACATATAACAAGAGTCCTTGTCATCAAATACAACAGGCAGTTATAATACTGTGTATAATATAAGAATATCCTCAGAAATATCCTAGTTTAATCCTCCTATTTTATAATTATTAAAATAAGCTTAGAGAGATTAAGCCTTGCCTAAGGCTTCACAAGTAGTTGGGACTCTTAAGACTTCTTTTTTCTAATCCAATGCTCTTTCTAGTACATAGACAAGGCAGGCAGCATCAAAGAGGTTTGGAAGCAGATGGCAGGGATCCCAAGACCTGGGAGAACTGGTGTATTGGAGCAGGGTACAAAGATTGGGATTTAGCTGTGAGAGAAGGTTATGTTGCCTTATTTAAGACTTACTCTTAAAAGATTGGAGCTAGAGATTTTTCTTAGGGGCATGAAGAAGTAAGTGGCCATGTTGGAGAAGTCCATGTGGCAAGGAACTGTAGGCAGCTTCTAGGAACTGTAGATACCGTGTAGGACTTGAGGGTGGCCTGTGAGAGCCAGCAAAAAGATGACGCCCTCATTTATACACTGCAAGGATATGAATTCTGCCCGCAATCTGAAGGAGCTTGGAAGAAGATTCTTTCCCACTTTCGTCTCCAGATAAGAATGTAGTCTAGCTGATACTTTGAATGAAACCTGTGGAACCCTGAGCAAATGACTCAGCTGAGCCGTGCCCAGACTTCTGATCCACGGAAACTGTGAACTAATAAATGTACTGCTATAAGGTGCTAAGTTTTTGGTAATTTGTTACACAGCAATAGAAAACTAATACTTTTGGTCATGTCCAAGTATATTCTTTAGTGTAGTTTCATTACATAATAAACACAGTGCTTTGCCATCTATTATAATTTGAAATACATAATCCAGACTTCACTGTGCCTTAAAAGCATGAAAATCACTGCAGTTTGTGATGCTCTGGGTAGCACTGTGAAATGATAAGGGTGCCACATATGGTCTCAAAACTACTTTTGTCTGGTAGTATGAAGCAGCTGTAACAATGCATAAATGAGTTAGCATGGATTCATTCTTATGAAAGTTTATGAACACCAAAATTTGAATTTCATATAATTTTCATGAGTCACAAAATATTATTTTAATTTTTTCCCCAAATATGTAAAAATGTAAAGACGATTCTTAGTTTTCAGACTGTACATAATAGACAATAGGCTGAATTTAGCCTGCAGACTGGAGTTTGCTGACCATGGCTATAGACAAACTTGTCTATACTAATACTGTTTGATAGGTGCAACAACAGGGGAAGTACTCGCACTATTTGAGATCCTTAATAAAAAATATTTTAATCAAAAATCCAACTTGTTAAATATATTTAAAAAACTAAAAAAATCTAGCATAACAGCTTTTTGAACAGTTTCTTGAATGTGGTAAAAAGGATGGAGTAAAATATGAAACAGCCTCAAATTTCTCACTAACCACTACTTCTATACTTTGATCATTCTTTTTTCTCCACTCATAAATGATATCCTGGTCAGTTTCCATTGATTCTTGCCACATATTTATAGGAATAAGTTCAGTTTTGGCAAGACTTATTTTGGGGTGTTAAAAATACTTGGGCCATTTTTTTTTTTTTTTGGCATTAAAAATTTTTTTTTTAAACATCTTTATTGGAGTATAATTGCTTTACAATGGTGTGTTAGTTTCTGCTGTATAACAAAGAGAATCAGCTATACATATACATACATTCCCATATCTCCTCCCTCTTGCGTCTCCCTTCCACCCTCCCTATCCCACCCCTCTTGGTGGTCACAAAGCACCAAGCTGATCTCCCTGTGCTATGTGGCTGCTTCCCACTAGCTATCTAGTTTACATTTGGTAGTGTATATATGTCAATGTCACTCTCACTTCGTCCCAGCTTAACTTCCCCATCCCCATGTCCTCAAGTCCATTCTCTACATCTGCACTTTTATTCCTGTCCTGCCCCAAGTTTCTTCAGAACCGTTTTTTCTTTTATTAAAGATTCCATATATATGTGTTAGTGTACGGTATTTGTTTTTCTCTTTCTGACTCACTTCACTCTGTATGACAGACTCTAGGTCCATCCACCTCACTACAAATAACTCAGTTTCTTTTCTTTTTGTGGCTGAGTAATAGTCCATTGTATATATGTGCCACATCTTCTTTATGCATTCATCTGTCGATGGACAATTAGGTTGCTTCCATGTCCTGGCTATTGTAAACACAGCTGCAATGAACATTGTGGTACATGACTCTTTTTGAATTATGGTTTTCTCAGGGTATATGCCCAGTAGTGGGATTGCTGGGTCAAATGGTAGTTCTACTTTTAGTTTTTTAAGGAACCTCCATACTGTTCTCCATAGTGTCTGTATCAATTAACATTCCCACCAACAGTGCAAGAGGGTTCCATTTTCTCCACACCCTCTCCAACATTTACTGGTTGTAGATTTTTTGATATTGGCCATTCTGACCGGTGTGAGGTGATACCTCATTGTAGTCTTGATTTGCATTTCTCTAATGATTAGTGATGTTGAGCATCCTTTCATGTGTTTATTGGCAATCTATATATCTTCTTTGGAGAAATGTCTATTTAGGTCTTCTGCCCATTTTTGGATTGGGTTGTTTCTTTTTTGGATATTGAGCTTCATGAGCTGCTTGTATATTTTGGAGATTAATCCTTTACCAGGTGCTTCTTTAGCAAATATTTTCTCCCATTCTGAGGGTTGTCTCTTCGTCTTGTTTATGGTTTCCTTTGCTCTACAAAAGCTTTGAAGTTTCATTAGGTCCCATTTGTTTATTTTTGTTTTCGTTTCCATTACTCCAGGAGGTGGGTCAAAAAGGATCTTGCTGTGATTTATATCAAAGAGTGCCAGCGGCCATGGCTCACGGGCCTAGCCGCTCCGCAGCATGTGGGATCTTCCCGGACCGGGGCATGGACCCGTGTCCCCTGCATTGGCAGGCGGACTCTCAACCACTGAGCCACCAGGGAAGCCCTCCAGCTCTCTTTTGATTTCCATTTGCATGGAATATCTTTTTCCATCCCCTCACTTTCAGTCTGTATGTGTCCGTGGGTCTGAAGGGGGTCTCTTGTAGACAGCATATGTATGGGTGTTGTTTTGGTATCCATTCAGCCAGTCTTTGTCTTTTGGTTAGAGCATCTAATCCATTTACATTTAAGGTAGTTATTGATATGTATGTTCCTGTTACCATTTTCTTAATTGTTTTGGGTTTGTTTTTGTAAGTCTTTTCCTTCTCTTGTGTTTCCTGCCTAGAGAAGTTCCTTTAGCATTTGTTGTAGAGCTGGTTTGGTGGTGAATTCTCTTAGCTTTTGCTTGTCTGTAAAGGTTTTAATTTCTCTGTCGAATCGGAATGAGATCCTTGGTGGGTAAAGTAATCTTGGTTGTAGGTTTTTCCCTTTCATCACTTTAAATATGTCCTGCCACGCACTGCTGTCTTGCAGAGTTTCTTCTGAAAGATCAGCTGTTAACCTTATGGGGATTCCCTTGTACTTCCTTGCTTTTCCCTTGCTGCTTTTAATATTTTTTTACTGTATTTAATTTTTGATAGTTTCATTGATATGTGTCTTGGCATGTTTCTCCTTGGATTTATCCTGTATGGGACTCTCTGTGCTTCCTGCACTTGATTGACTATTTCCTTACCCATATTAAGGAAGTTTTCAACTATAATCTCTTCAAATATTTTTCTCAGTCCCTTTCTTTTTCTCTTCTTCTCCTGGGACCCCTATAATTCGAATGTTGGTGCATTTAATCTTGTACCAGAGGTCTCTGAGATTGTCCTCAATTCTTTCCATTCTTTTTTCTTTATTCTTCTCTGTGGTAGTTATTTCCACTATTTTATCTTCCAGGTCACTTATCCGTTCTTCTGCCTCAGTTATTCTGCTATTGATTCCTTCTAGAGATTTTTAAATTTCATTTATTCTGTGTTCATCATTGTTTGTTTGCTCTTTAGTTCTTTTATGTCCTTATTAAACATTTCTTGTATTTTCTCCATTCTATTTCCAAGATTTTGGATCATCTTTACTATCATTACTCTGAATTCTTTTTCAGGTAGACTGCCTATTTCCTATTCATTTGTTTGGTCTGGTGGGTTTTTACCTTACTCCTTCATCTGCTGTGTGTTTCTCTGTCTTCTCATTTTGCTTAACTTACTGTGTTTGGGGTCTCTTTTTTGCAGGCTGCAGGTTCGTAGTTCCCGTTGTTTTTGGCGTCTGCCCCCAGTGGCTAAGGTTGGTTCAGTGGGTTGTGTAGGCTTCCTGGTGGAGGGGACTGGTGCCTGTGTTCTGGTGGATGAGGCTGGATATTGTCTTTCTGGTGGGCAGGACCACGTCCAGTGGTGTGTATTGGGATGTCAGTGAACTTGTTATGATTTTAGGCAGCCTCTCTGCTAATGGGTGGGTTTGTGTTCCTGTCTTGCTACTTGTCTGGCATAGAGTGTCCAGCACTGTAGCTTACTGGTCGTTGAGTGGAGCTGGGTTTTAGCGTTGAGATGGAGATCTCTGGAAGAGCTTTTGCCATTTGATATTACTTGGGGTTGGGAGGTCTCTGGTGGACCAGTGTTCTGAACTTGGCTCTCCCACCTCAGAGGCTCAGGCCTGACACCTGGCCAGAGCACCAAGAGCGGGGTATCCACACTGTTCAGAAGAAAAGGGAGAAAAAGGAAGGAAGGAAAGAAGGAAGGAAGGACAGAAGGAAGGAAGAAAATAAAGTTATTAAAATAG